AAACTGCTAACCATACACTCATTTTTAATTGAGCTGCTTAAATATCTGTCAGGGTTTAATGTAGAAAAGAGAATTCCACCTAGGTATTTTAGACAAAATGAATTTAATTCAAGAAATAAGATAAAAAATCAGAAGGACTGGAGAAGTGGCAGACAGAAAGTCTGCATTAAAGTCAAACGGTACCACAGTTTCAATCCAGAAGCCAGAAACTACTCCTGCCACCCAAAGATTAGAAGCTACTCATAGTATGACTACCACTATTGCCAAGATCACTTGTTCTGTACCCTACAAGGTATGGGGGGGGGTAGTGGTTATGGTAGCCCACAGCTGCCAATGCTCACATCCACTGAAACCCACTTTCTGCGTACACAACTGTGAAAAAAATAATTCTTTCTCTTTCATTTTCTAAATCTCTGAAGTAGGCACATCCACAACAGAGGGCTAAGGGAGGCTAGGAGCTGTACTGTTTGCCCTTTCAGCATCTGAAGGACAGAGAAGCGAACATATGGAAGAAGCTGCAACTGAGTATGACGAGGCAGTGTTCAGCATAGCTTGTTCATGCATATTTACATATACGATACTTTATTCCACAAAGAATCTGGTAGAAAGCTTCTCATTATATTTTCTTGAAACACCTATTTGGGATTTCCTATTCTAAGCTTTGAACAGTGGGTCGTATTATTTGAACACCTACAAATGCATACATGAGAAAATGTCTTTCTCTCAAGACTATGAACGTCTAGTTCAGCTAGGATATTGTGCATAGGCACCAAGAAATGATAACTGCTGATGGCAGATAGTTAATACTGAGTGCTGTGGACAGTGATGCTAACGCATGTGGGGGGAGACGAGATTGCTGGGGAATGAGACTGCTTTGCTCGGCATTCCCAGGCAGACTGGGAACTATGAATCTTGGCTTGTTGGTCACTCTGTTTAATGTAGAAAAGGTCAATCCCGTGGGCCCTCTTTGAACAGGAGACATACTCTTGCAAGACTGCGCAAGGCAGCTGCCTGTGCTGTGCATCCTACCCCAGGACCTGTGGGAATGGCTGTCTTCTTCAAGCCCAGCACGGGATCTCAGGTGTGGGGAACTGAAGGAAACTAAGGAGAGGAATAGCCCCCTTCTAAATAGCTTGGGATTTACTATTTAGTCAAAGTGCATGTTCATTTTCATTGTGCCTCAGAGCCACTTGAAATATCTTCTATTTCTCATAAAACTAGTTTTCAAGGAGATGATACTTCAAATAATTACCACATATTTATACTACTCCTAATCGAGCAGGATGCTGGAGGTTGTGTGAGTACAGCCTAAGTGTAATTCACCAAGTACCAATGTAGTGAAAGAAGTTCGGAGAAGGGTGGGTTCCAGTCTGTTCTCCATCTCTGGGGAGTTTAGTACAGTGATTTATTTTAAAGAAATTAATTTTAAATTTTCGAATAGTTTTAGATTGACAGAAAAGTTGAGAGGATAGTGCAGAGTTCCTAGACATCCCAGAACTTTTCTCATCTGTTATTATTATCTATATTGTAAGACACATTATCACCACTGATGCTCTGATATTGATATAACAGTATTCAGGTTTTGTTTTAATTGATAGCATCATGACAGGTTTATAAAATGTTTCAGTGCTTTTAATTTATAGTTTCTTATTTTTGAGTTTGAACATTTTTTCGTTGTTTTAGTCCATTTGTACCTGATGTGTTTTCTCATTTGTGTGTTGAAAGCTTTTTTTTTTTTTTAATTGTCGTAAGCTGTAATGGTTGTGGGTCAGGAAAGGTGTCATGGAAATGATACTTGAGACAAGGGTTTTGCCAAGCAGAGGTGAAAGAATAGGACATTCTGAGGGAAGAGTATGGAGCAGCGGCTCAGAAATTCTGAAGTCATGGAAGTGTTTGGAGAGCAAGTCTGCATAGATTGCAGCCAGACTGAGTGTACCTTAAATAAGATATCAAGGCCTGTAGATTTAACTATGGAAACTTGGGCAAACATGTTTGTCTGTACAAGTGAATATGATTTTTCTTTGAAAGTCTAACTCCTGGAGCAGGCTTTTGGCCTAGCAGTTAAGAAGTTTGTATCCCATATTGCAATGCCTGGACCTGATTCCCAGCTCTGGCTCCTGACTCCAGCTTCCTGCTAATGCAGACCCAGGAAGGCAGCAGTGATGGCTCAAATAATTGGGTTCTTGCCATTCTGATAGGAGATTTCGGTTGAGTTCTTGGCTTCTGGTCATTGTGGGTATTTGGGAAATGAATTAACTTGCTCTCTTTCTCCCTTTCCCTCTCAAACAACAACAGCAAAGGAAACAGAAAACTAACGCCCAAGGTAATTTCGAGGATATCTTGCTTTTTAGGAAAGAGAAGGGGAAACTGGGAGTGTGAACAGAGACTGGTAATGACAGATGGGGTAGGAGGGTATTGCAAAGGTTTTGTCAAGTCTTTTGGCCTGAGTTTTTAACTGACAAATGCAGTTGAAATGCAGAGTTGGGCATAAATTTGAGAACAACTTCTAGAGTCAATTTGAAAGATTTGGTAGATGAGGAAGACAAAATAAAAGGCTGAAACTTGGGGGCAGCACTGTGGCGTAGCAGCTAAAGCCACTGCCTGTAGTGCCAGCAGCCCATGTGGGTGCTGGTTCGAGTCCCGGCTGCTCCATTTCCCATCCAGCTCTCTGCTATGGCCTGGGAAAGCAGTGCAAGATGGCCCTGCACCCGTGTGGGAGACCTGGAAGAAGCTCCTGGCTCCTGGCTTTGGATCTTCCCAGCTCCAGCCATTGCGGCCATCTGGGGAGTGAACCAGCGGGTGGAAGACCTCTCTCTCTCCTTGCCTCTGCCTCTCTGTGACTCTGCCTTTCAAATAAATAAATAAACCTTTTTTTAAAAAAAGTTCAAATCTTTCAATGTGGCAGACTAGCTGGAAAGTGATGTTATTTGCTAAAATGGGTAATACTGGGGGATTCACGGATATGATAGAAAAAGAATCTGGTTTTGAATGGGTTATGTGTGAGCATGGAAATATCCAGAAAACTGTTGAAAAGTCTAGAGTTTTGGAAAAGTTGATTACTGGGAATAATGGATTTGTCATCACTTCGTGGTGAATGGTTTGAGTCAAATACGTGAGATGGCCCAGAAATAGTCAGGAGTATATATTGAGACTGGACCCCTGAAAAACTGTCTAAATAGGAGGCTGGTGAAGAGGTGCTATCCAGAGAGTACTCATACAGAAAGGAATTGTCATTTGAACAACATGGAATGAATGAGTAGTCATTTATAATAAATACTATATACAGATTAATCAGGATGATCACTGTGGGGAAAAGATGTGTGTATATGTGTGTAAGTGTGTGAATATGTACGTGTGTGTATGACTAAGGGGTTTGGGGAGTTTGCTGCTCTTGGATCTGCTTGTTTTGTTTTTATTTTTGTTTAATTCAGGTGATTGAAGATTCACATGTAGTTATATTATTTCCATGATTGGATCAAGGGGTTTGATTCATGTTGTTGCATTGTTTTCATGTTCAGTTTTTGATATGGAGCAATGACTGGTTTGTAACTCTGTACAGATTTGGGTAGCCTGAGACCAAGTGCAGGAATCTGCAACGAGGTAGAACACAGACCTGGACTTTTCTGGTGGGAATTGGAGTCTTTTCCAAATGGACACATTCCAGCTATCGTGGCCTCCTCACCTTTCACTTTTTTTTTTAGATTTATTTATTTTATTTGGAAGCCAGAGTTACAGAGAGGCTGAGGCAGGGAGAGAGAGAGAGAGGTCTTCCATCCCATGGTTCACTCCCCAGTTGGCTGCAATGGTCGGAGCTGTGCCGATCCAAAGCCAGGAGCCAGGAGCTTCTTCTGGGTCTCCCACGTGGGTGCAGGGCCCCAAGGACTTGGGCCATCTTCTACTGCTTTCCCAGGCCATAGCAGAGAGCTGGATCAGAAGAGGAGCAGCCAGGACTAGAACCAGCGCCCATATGGGATGCCGGCGCTTCAGGCGGTGACTCTACCCGCTGTGTCACAGCGCCGGCCCCAGCCTCCCCACTTTCAGCTTCCCTACTCTGTATCTCTCATGTGGAATACTGGTGGAACAGCTCATTCTGCATGAAAATTTGAATAACTTTATAGTACAGTGTGTCCTTGTCTGTCATGGTTGCTGGTACCTGCAGGTGAATGTGTGACCAAGGTAGTGCTAACTCAAGGATCAGGGACCAGACTGTGAAGTCTAGAGGTAAGTCTGGGATCTGCTACCACTTCAAGAATTAAGGATCCACCACTCAGTGGAATTCATTATGTAATATTCTAAAAACAATTCAAATGCAACATCTAAATGAGTTCAATTTGAAAATAATAATCAGACTTTCTGTCTGACGCTGTGGCTTTTATGAGTATGAAGATCTATTTTTTAAAATTTTCTTAAGCCATGACTTGGTGAGAAATTCTACATAAACATTCAGATCTCCAGATTGCCTGTTTCAGCACTCATTTTCTACAAATGTATCAAGCAGTTTTGCATGTCTTTTGTCATTAACATAAGACATGTCATTTGCCTCCTTTTCCTCCACCGAAATCCATTCCATAAGATAGACCAGTTTGAGGTGCCATAAACACCCGCTTCTTTTGGGGTTTTCTTTGACTGCTGGAGAAACTATGGTCTGTGTCTGAGTCACACACATTTTACTGCGTTTTCCCTGGCACGAGATTCGTATACATTGGCATCTTCTCAGAGTGAAGTTGACTCTCTCTCCCTTTCCCTATTCCAGAATTGCACTTGGCTTATGGTGATTCCAAAACATTTTGAGGCTCATTTTGATTGGCTCTGGCAGTCTCAGCCCAGCCAGGTTCACTCTGAGAGGTGCCGTGTCCCTTCATGAATGGCCACGGAAGCTTTTGCTCTTGGAGCTGCATTCTAATAGCATCTCTTGCATGGACTGCGCCAAACCAGTGCTTTGAAATGTGCATCCCTGTCATGTGGCTTTTCTTGCTGCAGTTTCTGTTCTTTTTTATTGTAGGATCGGGAGACTCACCGCTAGAAGATGATGAAGCCGGGTATCCCCACACTAGATATAAAGGTGAATGCTTTGCTTACATGCTAACGAGGACCTGCTCATGCCAGGAGAACTCTCCCTTTTGCCCTATGGAGCAGACTGTAATAAAGTGACCAACAACACATTTAAATTCTAGTTGCCCATCAAGGAAAGGAAAGCATATTAATATATATATATGTGTATATATATATATGTATATATATATATGTGTGTGTGTGTGTATATATATATATATATGTTCCCATTCAAAAACAAAAAGAAACAAAAGGAAAAACAAATGAAAGTGAACAAAAAGCATTTGGAAACCTCTGAAGTGCTGTCTTTCAGCGCCCCATGGTCATTTTATTCTCAGAAGTTTCTTTGCTGTCCTGACTTCTGCAAAGGCAAGCTGTAGCAGATGAAAGTGAAAATCAAGCTGTGAGTTCTGCCTGATTGATACATTACGGCCACAATCGTCCAGAGTAAACAATCCAAGGTCAAATCTGGACCCAGTGCTGCTAATGTACTGAGATGAATGAGAAAGCTTGATTTTCGTAAGCTTATTTCATCGTGCTGTTTCCGAGCCTAGAATGACTCCTGAAATGAAAAGTAAAGTGTGTTGCTCAATTGAAACTTACTTAACTTGATGATAAATAACTCCATCTCTACACATTTCCAGCCATCTTTCCTTCCACACCAGCCTGTAGGTATAAAAAGCCTAATCAAGAAGCTTCTATGCAGGCTCAGGTAAGTATGTCCATACATATTTCTACTGATGGTAGATTTTCTGAAGCTTAGGAAATCCTGGGAAAGATGAAGCTAAATTTAGATGCTTTCTCTCTGAATCTGGTTCTTCTTACAGTGAAGAAACACTTTGAAGAAAATTGGTTAATGAAGTTTCACGGTGACATTTTGCCCAGGAAATTTGTCCACATTCTTACAGAAGGACACTGCCCAGGCCTGTTGTGGTGTGTCTGAGCTCTAGGAAACTCAGGGTTGTACTGGTCAGCCTTTGGCTGCCGAGTGTTCTCCAGCTGTGTTTCACTCAATTGAATCATCTTTCTAATATAATCTGGTGCCTATATTCAGATGTGTTTCCCACTAAGCACCACATTTGCTTGTGATTTCTGAATGTAAATACTCATTCCTACCTGCAGATCCTATCTTCATAACCTCAGGAGTTAATCAAGCAAAGCACAAACTTGTCAGATATTTAGGATAAGGAGATATTCTGATTCATAAAACTTTTTAACAAATCCAGGGCTTAAAAAAAACCTTGTTTTTTTTTTTTCCTCTTTGAGTCCTTTGTTCAAAAATCTTCCTATAGCACATGCACGTAGAGGTGACCCTTTATATCTACAGCAGGTGGTACCCAGTGTCCTTGCGTCATTGTTCCCATCCTCAATTCACAGCATTACAAGGTGGAAAGTAGACCAGATGGCTCCAATATGGGCTTTCCCTAAAAGTCTGAATGACTTCTCCTTAGGAAATTGTTTCTGCTGTCAGTTAAGTTGCTTACCTGTGGTTATTTCACAATGTATGTATGTTTCAAAACATGTGTACACCTTAAGTTTATGCAATTAAAAAGTGTTTGAAGTTTCTTGGTTTTAAAAGTTAGAGGCAAACAATTATTTTTTTTAAACTTAAAAGTTCTTTATTATTGCTTTGGGATTTTTTTAAACTTTTATTTAGTAAATATAAATTTCCAAAGTACAGTTTATGGATTACAATGGCTTCCCCCCCCCCAATAACTTCCCTCCCACACGCACCCCTCCCATCTCCTGCTCCCTCTCCCATTCCATTCACATCAAGATTCATTTTCAATTATCTTTATGTACAGAAGATCGATTTAGTATATATTAAGTAAAGATTTCATCAGTTTGCACCCACCCACACAGAACATAAAGTGTAAAATACTGTTTCAGTACTAGTTATAGCATTAATTCACATTGGACAGCACATTAAGGACAGAGATCCTACATGAGGAGTAAGTACACAGTGACTCCTGTTGTTGACTTAACAATTTGACACTCTTGTTTATGGCATCAGTAATCTCCCTAGGCTCTAGTCATGAGTAGAAGCAAACTATTATTAAGAAAGTGTTTAGCTCTAGATTCGCTTAGCATCTGGCAGAGTATGCAAAGTGTTCCTAAATTAAATTAAGTAAAAAAAGAAAGCAAGTGAAACTTAGCTACCATTTATTGTGCTCCCAGTTTATGGCAGGCATCATGTTTTATTCTTTTCCTTGGAATACCATAATGTAGTCACACTAATTGGCAGAAGGGAGAAAGCATGTAGAGATATGTCAGTATTGTCCCCTGTTTATGGATCAAAGGACTAAGGATTATGGATGGTAGGTTCTCTTGTTCAGAGTCACATAACTAGCAGATGTTAGCCTTGGGTCTAAGCAGGTGTTTTGGCTCATACCCAGAATTTGCTAAGTGACATCTCATTAGTCTGCTGCATGAGTTCCCTACCCCAGGAACTCCATTTAACTGCAATGCTTACCACATTGGCCCAAGGAGATGAAAAGACTTTCTTAAGTAATCAATTTAGATTTCTCCTTAGTAAGTCCTATATTAACAGAAGTGGCACAAGAACTTCCTATTTCTAAACCTTTATGTTAAACTTTTTGTTAATTCACTTTAACTTATGGTGCATGCATGCCCTTTAAATTCCACTTACCCACCGACATTTTAATTATGATCACTGCAGAGCAGTTAAACCGTCAAAATGTCTTCCAAAGATTTGTCTTGGGAAGTAATCAAAAAGAATTCCTTTTGCAAACAAATGAAAACAAGATTCACCTCCCCTGTCCCATGCTGACAACAGCACTGCTTTTGGGTGTGTGGCCAGCACTGCTAGAATTAGAAGACTTAAAATATGGGGCAAAATCTGCTAATTGCATTGGGTACATTTCTGGAGACAAAAGAGATAGGAGATAGTATGTGCTAAGAATTATGGGCATGCTGCTTCATACTAGTTCACCCTAAAATTTCATCCCTCCTCAATTTATGGCAAAGTCCTGAAGCTGGAGGGTGTGGGTGTTTTTCAACATGTGAGTGATAAACAACTGGAGAGTTGGACATTCTTCCAGCTTTCATACCAGTAAAATTGTCATCAGGACCCAGAATGCAAAAAGGATTTGCCTTCAGCTGGAAGGATCATGAAAGACTGCCCAAGTTATCACTCAAAAGAAGGTATAAGGAGGTGGGCATGATATTGAACTGGAGTGGAATGAGACAAAGTTTGAATCCTACAGCTTGAAAGCTAGATGGGATCTTGACAATCATTTAATCCACTCCTATGTTATAGATAAAGTACCTGGATTCCCCCCACATTTACACAATTACTCAGGGTTACTAGGAGAAGATGGAGTTGGAATGTATGCCCAGTTGAATCTCTACCCAGTATTGTGTGTAGCATAGTCTACCGCCTCACTATGTTTTCATCAACACTCAGGGTTGCCCGTGTTCACTCACACTTCATTATCCTTCTTCCACCTCAAATGGGGAGAATTTCATTTTTTCTTCCTGAAATGTACTCAGTCCTCAGTCAAGGGTCCCACAGTTTGGCCTGTGAGTTGATGGGGAAATAGGCAGTAACATGGACCCAACTGGCAAGATGGAAGGAAGACTAGAGACTGAAAAGCACAGAAGCATTGTGGTCTAGAAGGGGAACAAGGGTGACGGGAAAACTAGGAGGAAAGCAGTCAGCGGGGCAGGTGGAATGAAGGGGGTAAGGGGTGTTGAAGGTGAAGCAGTAAATTAATCTTTCCTGTTACAAGGGCACAAAGAGAGAGGGAGGGAGAGAAATTTCCTCTAAGAGTCACAGAAACCAGTAGGTTCCAATTCCCACTTTTGCTTGAGTGGTACACGTCTGTGGCTCTTTCCAGAATTTAAGGTAAAGATTTTTGATTATAAAGAAATATGCTCAGCTTGGCAGTACTAAGCAAACATACCCCAAGGGCTTCTCACTTACATGTAAATCTTGAAATTTTTTAGTTTCATAATTTATCTGGAGACATCACCAAAAAAAAAAAAAACTAAACAAAACATTTAAAATTGGCTCAAGAATTCTTTTCCACTTATAAGAGAATGAGGGAGATGTGTATGTTCTTTAGTATCTTACTTCGGGTCCAACTTTATCTCATTTAAAAGTCTTAGTAAGGGGGCTGGCATTGTGACTTAGCAGGTTAAGCCACTGCTTGTGATGCCGGCATCTCATATCAGAGCACTGATTTGAGTCCTGACTGCCTTACTTCTGATCCAGTTCCCTTCTAATGGGCCTGGGAAGGCAGTGGAGATGACTCAAGTACTTGGGGCCCTGATACCATGTGTCAGGATGGAGTTCCTGGCTCATAGCTTCAGCCTGCCCCAGCACGGTCCACTGTGGCCATTTCTTGAGCACACCAGTAGATGGAAGATCTCTCTGTCTCTCAAATAAATAAATGTTAGTACGAGTGTATACAAGCTGTGTGTGTAAACCCTTAGAGGAAGGAACATTTTTTTCAAGCAAGGTCTATAGGCCTGATGTGAACTCCTGCAAGTCTATATCCATATGAGTGAATTTAATTAACTTTAGGTTAAGCCATCAGGATATCACCTTTATCCAAAATGACTAAGGCATTGTAGTTGAGTCCTGGTTTTAGGACCCACTTGCAGTCATCCTCAGATATTTTACAAAGAAAGTATTAGCTAACATGAACGTGAAATCACACAATTTTAAAAACAGAAGGCAGTGTATCCACGAGACCTGGACATGACAGTTTTCATGACTGAGAAGAACATCCTCAAAAAAATTCCTCCAACAGTACAATAGGGTGTGTCCTCCTCGCTGGCCACATGATGGCGCACTTATCCCACTCACTGACAGCACCGATGGCGTGAGGAGCCAGGCAGCAGGAAGGAAATGGCTCTTGCTCAGAGGATTGAGAGCCTGGCAGGCTTGAAGGAGTTGTCAGTGGTCCCCATCTCTTGTTGGACATTGGTGCAGTGGCCACTGTAGGAGCTTTCCCCTTCAAGGAGCTAATCATACCCAGCTATTTGTGGATCTGAGAGAGTACCTGCCAAAGGCACAGCAGAGGAGAGGCTCTGATTGATTAGTGCCATCATAGATGAGTTCCGGGCAACTATGAAGCCACAAACAAAACAGCCCGCAAGTGTGCCGGGTGGGCAGTGTGTCCCTCTCCAAATGAGGAATGGTTGGGAGCATCTGAACATGGAGAGACTGCTTCCCTGTGGAGAGCAATGGTTCTAAGCAATTATTGACACTACCACTGTGTATGAATGGCTAGGGCTTGGGTTCACAACATTATCATAATTATTATCATAATCAGTTGCCCTCCAGAGAGTAATATGCATCTAGTTATAGGAAATACTTCAAAAAAACAAGCATTTATTGGACAGGTACTGTGTTAAGCACTGTGTAAGGTCCTTGATATGCATTTTTTTATTGTTGTTTTGTCCTCACTTGTATAATGGCCTTCTGGCATAAGTATAGGTATTTGACTCACAGAAGTTAGGTAACTTGTCCAACATCACACAGCTACTTTTAGAGGATCTCAGATTCATATTCAGCTGTGTCTGACATCTAGTCCATGACCATGACTTTCCTATCCAGAGAGACCTGGAAGAACATGAGCATGATTTGGAGGTCTAACATGTGGAACGCAGCTGGCCTGGGGCTGAGAGAGTAAGAGCATGCATTATCTGCACATGTCACATCCTGGTTTTCCTCTCCTTTGTTTCTGCTGCCTGTAGACACCCCCTGGTGCTCCCCCCTCAAGGTGAAGTACGGGGATGTGTACTGCAGGGCCCCTCAAGGAGGATACTACAAAACAGCCCTGGGCTCCAGATGCGACATTCGCTGCCGGAAGGGCTACGAGCTGCATGGCTCTTCCCAGCTGATCTGCCAGTCCAACAAGCGGTGGTCCGACAAGGTCATCTGCAAACGTGAGTAGCACAGCCTTGTGTTGGGTTCTCAGGGACAGTCGGGGCCAGAGTTCTTTGGCTCAGAGATCTGGGCCTTTCACTGAACATTGCAGAAAAGCGCCAGCGTGCGGTGGGTGTGTGAGGGCTCTTTCAGGGAGAAGGGTGTGGTCAGCTGTTTGGGAAAAGGGGAAAGATGGGATTTGCTCAGCAAATGGCTGATGTCTGTGCAGGAAGTGCTGCATCCTGAAGAGGTGCTGGGGATTTAGAAACAGATGGCACGCACAGGTTCTGTGTGAGGGGTGGGTTTCAGGAACAGCATCACAGAGAGGGGGGCAGGGGTGTGAACCTTACGGTAAGTACAAGGGAGGTCCTATGTCAGGGATTTGTAGCAGATTAAGGAAGTAAACTCTCCTCCAAAATAAACAACAAAAACAAATGAAAGAAATGTTCTACTAAGTAATGGAGCTTAGGGAGGAAGGAAACAGTCACTGAAGAAGTGCTGCTTATTCCATGAAAGGGAAGAAGATTAGAACATTTCAGGGGCAGGAGTTCTGCCCAGTGCTTAAGACTCCCCTCAAAATGCCCGAGTCTCATAATGCAGTACCTCGGTTCAACTCCTCCCTCTGGCTCCATTCCAGCTTCCTGCTAATGCAGACCCTGGGAGGCAGCAGTGATGGCTCAAGTAATTGAGTCCTTGCCACCCATGTGGGAGACCTGGATTGAGTTCCCGGCTCCTGGCTTCCCCAGCCATTGTGGGCATTTACAGATGAATCAGTGGACAAGAACATGTGTGCTCTCTCTCCCTCCCCCTCTCAAATAAATAATTTTTTTCAAAAAAAAAAAAAAGAGCATTTCAGGGGTTGATTTTTAGCCTAGTGACAAGTCATCCCTCTCAAATAAATAAATGACTTTTTTTTAAAGGAAGTAAAAAGCATTTCAAAGACTGATTTTTTAACCTCATGACAAGTAATATCTCATGTGAAAAATTGCAAGTGGTCCAGCATTGTCAAAGCGTGTTTTAGAGGCCTTTGTTTTTCAAAAACAGCCACCACTTATTAAGCACCTATTGTTTGCCAAGCATTTTGCACAACTCAACTTTGCTAAAGGCATTGATATGGTTGTCATTACTTTAACTTCATTTTGGGGGACACTGAGGCTTGGGACTGCAGTCACGTGACCCAGGCTAGGCACACTATGCAATGGGATGACGGTGGTGGACACCTTGTGCTTCACCTGTTTCCCTGGTACCCTTTTACCAGTTCTGTATATCATTTCCCCAGCTTCTGAGTACTTTGCTTTTGAACTTGTACCTTTAACCTTCTTAGAAGAAGGAAGTCTGCTCCTTCGGAAAACTGCTCTTTTTTTTTGTGACAAGGAAAAGCATCTCTTGTGAGCAGGCTGGAACTCTCCCAGGATTGATTGGTAAAGGATTATAAAAGCCCAGGTGGGGCTGGCACTGTGGCGTAGCGGGTAGAGCCACCACCTGCAGTGCGGGCATCCCATATCGGTGCTGGTTTGAGTCCCGGCTGCTCTACTTCCGATCCAGCTCTCTGCTGTGGCCTGGGAAAGTGGTAGAAGATGGCCCAAATGCTTGGGACCCTGCACCCACATGGGAGACCTGGAAGAAGCTCCTGGCTTCAGATCAGCACAGCTCTAGCTGTTGTGGCCAACTGGGGATTCTCTCTCTCTCTCTCTCTCTCTCTCTCTCTCTCTCTCTGCCTCTCCTCCTCTCTCTGTATAACTCTGACTTTCAAATAAATAAATAAATCTTAAAAAAAGAAAGTGCAGCTTCCTTGCCCAGAGGCAAGACAGACTCTGAACTGTCAGTCCTGCTCCAGGTTGCCCTGAGTGTGGAAGCGCACTGAGGCTGGCTTTGCCCGGGTCAATCCACTGATGCCACCTTGCTTGGCTTCCTTCCCTTCCCTATCCTGCTTCTTCCGTGCCCTCACTCCTTTGCCTGGAGTGGTTTCTTACTAAACCACCTGCACTCAAATCATTCTCTCAAGATCTGCTTCTGGGGAACATACCCAAACATAGTGGCCTAGCTGGGATGACAGTCCAAGCTTTGTGCCTCTTGTGTGTGACATATATACCCCATTGTTCCTCTAGTTCCACCTGTTATTGTTTTAAGATTTATTTATATATTTGAAAGGCAGAGTTACACAGAAGGAGAGAGAGAGAGAGGGAAAGAGAGAGAGAGATCGATCTTCAGTCTGCTGGTTCACTCCACAAATGGCCACAACAACCAGGGCTAGATCAGGTCAAAGCCATAAGCCTGGCACTCCATGCAGGTTCCCCACGTGGGTGCAGGGACCCAAGGGCTTGGGCCATCTTCTGCTGCTTTCCCAGGCCATAGCAGAGAGCTGGATCAGAAATGGAGCAGCCAGGACCAAAATTGCATCCATATGGGATGTCATTGTTGCAAGCAGTGGCTTAATCCGCTGTGCCACACCACCAGCCCCATCCATTTGTTTTATTTAAATTAACTTTTCACTTTATGTTTTCACAGTTTCTGGACTCCGAAACTCCATGGGTTTTAACAGCAACAGCAACAACCAAATTTGATTTTGTCTTTTTCACAGAAAAGCGATGTCCTACCCTTGCCATGCCAGCAAATGGAGGGTTTAAGTGTGTAGATGGAGCCTACTTTAATTCCCGTTGTGAGTATTACTGTTCACCAGGATACACACTGAAAGGGGAGAGGACAGTCACATGTATGGACAGCAAGGCCTGGAGTGGTCGACCAGCCTCCTGTGTGGGTAAGAAAATGCCCCAGCCCTTGGAAAGCGCCTACTTTGGAGGAGCAGGGGTGGGTGCTATAGTGGATTTTAAAGGCAGCCTCGGATTCCATGAAAAGCATAAGCTCCCAGCTTTGTTCTCAGTAGCTCTCTTCATCCCTGGGTCTCTGGCTCCGCTGGAGACCTGACCTCCTTCTCAGGGCTGCCTTCACTGCTCATGGCTTCCTCCTCATGGCTTGCTGTTGAGGCAGCTCTAGGCTGTCTGAGATATAGCACATGCCTGCCACTTCATTTCACGGCTCTGTCTTGTTCATCGAGAGGAGTTACATATGAAGGGTCTGTCCTGCAGAGAGCATCTATGTGTCTTTCAGCCAACGGACCTAGTTCCTTTGTCATTGACTCTGATGGTCAGCAAGCATTCAGTTTGCTTAGCTGGCAGGAGCTGGGATATTTTACCTTACTCTGGGTTTGTCGGGTAGTGAGTGGTTCTTACTGTGTGGTCCTGGGAGCAGAGCCACAGTATCTCTTGGGAACTCTTTGGAAATGAAAAGTATCAATCCCTCACCCCACACACCTGCTGAATCAGAAACTCTGGGGGGTGGGACCTGGCACCTTGCACTTGAATTCTGAAGCTGCTTTCGCGCACTGCTTCTCAAACTTTACCGTGCACAGGACTCATCTGGAGACCTGGGTGAAAATGCAGATTCTAATTCAGCAGATCTGGGTGAGGACCTGAACTTCTTATAGACGATGCTCTTGGGCAAAGTTTTTAAGCCTTGACACAATGGACATTTGGGGCCAGATAATTCTTTCTTTCTTTTTTCTTTTTTTGATAGTTCCTTGCACTGTCGGATGTTTAGCAGATTTCTCGGCTTTTATTTGCTAGGTGTCACTAACACTTGCTTGCAAACCCAGCTTCCCTCCAACCACCTTCCCACCCCATGTGACAACCAAAAATATCTCCAGATATCACCAGTGATATTGGAGGGTTAGCGGAGAAAAATCACATCCCATTGAGAACCAGTGGTTTAGGAGCTGTGGAGTCCCCACTTGAGCTACACACACAGAGAGAGGTTTTCCATCCACTGGTTCACTCCCCAAATGGCTGCAACAGCCTGGGCAGGGCCAGACCAAGGCCAGGAGCCAGGAGCTTCCTCTGGGTCTCCCACATGGGTGCAGGGGCCCAAGCTCCTGGGTCATCCTCCATTGCCTTCCCAGGCGCATTAGCAGGGAGCTGAATTGGAAGTGGAACAGCCAGGACCTGAACTGGCACCATTATGGGATGCTGGCATCACAGGCGGCGGCTTTACCTGCTATGCCACAAAGCTAGCCCCCCAGGTAGTTTTCATGCGTGATGAAAAGTGAGAACCAGACAATGGTTCTCAAATGTGGTCCCCCAAGAGCAGCAGCAGCATCTGAAAACTTGTTAGAAATTCAAATTGTCAGACATAAATGATTGGAAACTCTGGAGTGAGGCCTAGCAATCTGTGTTTTCTTATTTTTTATAAAAAGGTTTGTTTATTTATTTAAAAGGCAGAGTTAGAGATGCAGAGGCAGAGAGAGAGAGAGAGGGGTCTTCCATCTGTTGGTTCACTTCCCAAATGGCCTCAATGGCCGGAGCTGCGCTGATCTGAACTCAGGACCCAGGAGCTTTTAGGTCCCCCACATGGGTGCAGGGGCCCAAGGACTTGGGCCGTCTTCTACTGCTTTCCCAGCTAGATTGGAAGTGGAGCAGCCAGGACTTGAACTGGCACCCATATGGGATGCCAGCACTGCAGGCAGCAGCTTTACCCGCTATGCCACAGTGCTGGCACCAATCAGAGAGATTTAAAAGCAAGATTTATTAGAGTTGAAGACCTCCAGCCAGAGTGGCATGGAGTGGGGTTCCAAGAGAGGCTAAACCCGAAGGGGCCAGTGGTTTTTAAGCACAATTTTGGGGAGAAAAAACTTGACATTCAGGTGGAGACAAAACCCATTTGCAGTCTTTTACCCTGCTGGGCTTGCTCAGGATAAAACAAAAAGGGCCATCAGAGGGTGGGATACCTAATTTGCTTTGCAGTAAACTGGGAGCTCAGAAGGGATTGCCACTCCCTTGCTATTCTCATGATGACATTGGAAGCTTTCAAGGGTGGGCAGGCAGGCACTTTGACCTTGTTAAAGCTTTTGCACCCTCAGTTTCCACTGGGACCACCCTGACTGCCTATTAATGCATCTGGTTCCTCATAGGCACTGGATTTTTTTTTACAGCTCCCTAAGAGGTCCAAGAATCACTATCTTGAGGGATCATTTACTCAAAAACCTTTGGATAACATTCTGGTACAACTCACCATTTTGTAGATGATGCCTGAGAAGTTACCTGAGTGCCTGGGATTGCATACAGCCAGGCCTGGAGCTACATCTCTAGGCTCTCAGGCCTAAACTCTTTGACTCCAGGGATGGTTCCAGTCCTAAGATGCTAGGGCAGCAGATCACAGGAGCCTGGCTCCTGCCCTGCTTGCATTTGCCCATCTACCCGTTAGTCTGCTCATGTGCTTTCCCTCCAGGACTCTTTCTTCACTGCCAGTGTCTAGAGTGGATACTTCAACAACAAAGACTAAAATCTGTTGCTATCTTCTGGGAGGCAGATGTGAGACAGCACCTCTGGCTTCAAGCCTAGGGCTGGCTTCTTGAAGGCATCACCGCCTACTGTCTTCTCTGGCAGCATCAGCCATTATTATCACTCTGAACATAACTGGCAAATGAGCTATGGCCAAGGAACCAGACCGAAGATGCAATCAAATACCCTTTAATATCTGAATCGCCATACTGTATATCCTGTTGACAAAAGCAATAGGTCAAATAAACACTCAGATTTATTTTGAGCTTCTCTTCATTCATGTTGGTCAGTAATCAGGAAAATAGGAAGCATTCTATTTGAAACAGAGGGGAATTTATTTTTTTATTTTTTTTAACTTTTATTTAATGAATATAAATTTCCAAAGTACAGCTTATGGATTACAATGGCTTCCCCCCATAACTTCCCTCCCACCCGCAACCCTCCCCTTTCTCTCTCCTTCTCCCCTTCCATTCACATCGAGATTCATTTTCATTTCTCTTATATACAGAAGATCAGTTTAGTATATATTAAGTAAAGATTTCAACAGTTTGCACCCACATAGAAGCACAAAGTGAAAAATACGAAACAGAGGGGAATTTAATACAGGGAACTGATTACAGACCTACAGGGGGAGCTAGAGGAGCTAAAGAGGAAAAATGCTGTTGTTACCAGAATTTGGAAGCCGCTGCTGACCAAGGGCTGGAGAAGCCAAAGTGGGATTCACCCCAAAGCCCATGAGCCCACCCTGATGCTGACATTTCTGTAACTGCCACTGTTACTGAAGGAAGTCAGGAGGCCTTGAAACACTCATTGAATTCTACCTCCTTCCTGCCTTCCAGTCTCATAAGAGTGTCTCCATTGGCAAACCTATCTGGCGCCCAGCTGGTAAAGTGATCTATGGAAATGTAATTTTGAGGCTTTCAGTCCTGGCAGTAGAGGGGAGATTACACAAAAACTGAGAACCAACAACACATTTGGCACAGCAACCTTCTAGACTTCGCTTGAATCTCCGTGATGAAAAACACTGCAGAACAGTCCTGGTCAACCAGTGCAGGTAGAATGGTTCTGGGGGTAGGAGAGGACCCCAACATCCTTGTCTGTCTTTGAGGGTATGGCCTCACACTAGATGTTCAAATGGAAAGGGTACCTCAGGGTTGTTGCTTTCAGCATCCCCCCTGTGATTTGGTATGTGCAGGCCAGCTCTTTAAATTAACCCAAAATAAAAATGAAATCTCTACTCTCTCATATTGAAAGGGACAAAGATGAGTGTGAGAGGAGAGGAGAAGCTCACATTTTTTTTCCTGCTAAGCAAGCTTGGCAGAACCTTCTAGGAATCATAATGTTCAGATTTCCAAATTGTGTGCGACAATGGAAATAAATTGCTAATTGTTCACAGAAAGCAGCAAGCATGTCTAAAGCTGGACCAGATGGGCCTGGTACCTTCCCAGAGGGAGAGAGAAAGAACTAAGAAATGAGCCCCAGTTTCAAAAGATTTAGCTTAAGAGTTTGCCAAAACAAATTTTAGGCATATCTGGGGGAAGGGGAATTATGAATGTAATTAGATGGGAGTGGCCAAAAGGGAGCTCATTTTTTTTTTTAATTTTGGTTTTTGGTGACAGACAAGCTGGAATTTGTCCTCAGTGAATTTTATTGCAGGGGTATCATTTACCCTTTTGGCTTTAAATGTATTAAATAAGTTTAATAAATTTCCTTGTATGTTGGCAAAGCTTGGGGGTCCTTGAGCATAACTCAGAGCGCCAACCCTCCTATTTTAGGAGCAGACACATGGTGGCTGAGTAGTTCCCAGATTTCCACACAACCTTGGCCAGAGCTGTGCTGAGTGCTGAGAAAGTCATCCCAATTCTCTTCTAGACCAGGAGGGTCTAGAGAAGACTGGGCTTAATTTTGACTCCTGAGGTGGTCAGTTCTGTGGTCTGGCCAATTTGAAAGTAACTACCACGAGTTAAAAATTAATTCTCTTCTGCAGAACATACTCTGGCAGTTGAGTAAAGTTCATGGTTATTTCAGAAAAAAAAACCTATAAATTGCAGGAGGGTTGAATATTTAGAATTCTATAATTCCCATGATATATAAAAATAAACCTTAGAATGTAAACACTATTGTTTTTGGGAGCTATTTTTTCTTCCTTTCCATTTTTACTTATTTTTAGTTACATTGGCACTTACATAGAACAATGGGCAGTTGGAATTACAACAAGTCCTCATTTACAGAGCAGATTTTCAGTAGACACACAATCTCTTTTTTAAAGCAACACTTTTCCCAGGCCAAAACAGGAAAAAAAAATGGAAGCTAATTTAGACACCACAGAAAGTGAAAACCCAGCCAGTGTTTTTGACATGCCAAGAGTACCTATTTAATTGCTTTAACAAAGGACAATGTACAAACCAACTTGGGTGTTGTTTGG